TATGATACAGTTTCTGCTTCTGTCCACCCCTGTAACCCAGGCTATCACTAACCTCAGAGTGTCCACGGGAGGACATCTGACTCAGGTTTGCCGTCTTCAGGGCATTGTATGCGCTAGACTTCACCAGATTCCCTCTCCCATGAAATTGCATCTGCCCTGTCTTGAGCCATCGTGCCTTCTATGAAGTGATGGCAGAAAGAATATACCACTTTGTGAGGATATGGTGGCTGGTAATGGGTGGCTTCATTTTTTAGCCTCCCAGTTAACGTATTTATAACTAATCGGTTTTTATTAATAATAATGTAGCAACAATAACAATAGCTACCATTATAAGAATGCTTGGCACATTGTAGGTGCACAGTAATTGTTGGTTTATTATAATTAGCAATGATAGTGGCCATTTCTATATTACTAATAATAACAATTACCATATTGAGCTTGAACTGAACTGGGCTTTTTATTTTTATTTCTTGTATTATCTCAAGGAAGTGACTGAAATTATAGTTATTTTAGGTCAAGGAGTTGATTTCAAGTAAATAAGTAATTTCCTTTCTTTTTTGAAAAAGCAAACTGTGTGTGGGGGTGTATGTGTGTGTGTATACTCACACACATGCATGTTTCTCCTGATTTCAAAAGTGTTACAGAGTTGGTGTTTAAGAATGTAGGCTTTGGTGTCCAACTGCCTGGATTCAAACTCTGGTTTGTCACAAGCTAATTCTGTGACCTTAGGCAAGTTAGTTAACCTCTCTGAGTCTTAATTTTCTCATTTGTAAAAGGAATAATTATAGAACATAGCTCATAGAATTATGAGGATTAAGTAACACAATGAGTAACTATTGTGTCCATAATAGTACTCACTGATGTACATTGTTGTGTTTTTATTATAGCAATTATTTAAAAAGAACTGGAAAAATGCAGAAAAGTAAAAAGGAGTTGTTTAATTCTATTATATAACCACTATTAACAATAACACAGGGCTGCATGTGTCTAACTTTTTCTGTTTATATGTATGCCTAAGTATACTCAATTTTATACAGTTAGATATAATCATTAACTTGTGTTAATAATTCACTTTTCCGTGTCCAGTGTAATTTATTTTATATATCACTTTATAATTTGTGTTATCAATTTACTTTTCTGTGTTTAATATATATTATTATATAGAGTTTTAATAGTTGCATATTAGTCCGCCATCATTTGTATTATGCTATTCATTCATTGGACATGTAGATTGCTTTGAATTTTTATTATTATAAATAATAGGAATCTTAATCTAAATTCACATCTTTTGGTACATATTTTATTAATTTCTTGATATAAATTTATAGGAAACCATTTAATAAGCTATAGAGTATTTTCAAAAATTAATACTTTTAGAATAAATTGCCAAATTGGTTTCTATAAAAACTTTAATTTCATTTCCAGCAATAGTATATGAGGCTTCTAGTTTCCATGTAACCCTGCCATACCTAGGTAGTATGTATACATATATTTTTTATAATATCCAATTTAATGGCTTCTGTACAATATGGAACAAGTCATTTTAATTCTGAGCTTCAGATTCCTAATGTGCAAATTAAATTAATGGGTATAGAATTCAGAAATATAGTGACAGATCACAAAGTTTGTATTGATTCCAGAACCAATTGATATTCAATATTTGAACTGCAGTTCAAGTGACAAAGGGCCAAGGTGAAGTTGGGCTAATGCCAGAAGAGGCAGAAGAGACTCATTATAGATGAATACTGAGGATCATTTCTCTGCTAATGCCATGACTGTCCAGAATGTCCCAGTGTTGATTAGAAAGTAATGTAGATAACAGTTATAATTTGAATATCTGATTGTGTCTTATTGTTGTCTATCCTGATAAACTGTGTACCCTATGAGGGCAGAGATCTTTGTTTGTTCACTGATACAATTTATGCCTTTAGCATGGAGCCTGACACATAGTAAGGGATCAATAAGAAGCACCTTATACAAAAGTTAACTCAAGATGGATTAAAGATTTAAACATAAGACCTAAAACCATAAAAACCCTAGAAGAAAACCTAGGCAATACCATTCAGGACATAGGCATGGGCAAAGACTTCATGACTAAAACACCAAAAGCAATGGCAACAAAAGTCAAAATTGACAAATGGTATCTAATTAAAGAGCTTCTGAACAGCAAAAGAAACCAACATCAGGTGAACAGGCAACCTACAGAATGGGAGAAAAATTTTGTGATCTATCCATCTGACAAAGGGCTAATATTCAGAATCTACAAAGAACTTAAACAAATTTACAAGAAATAAACAACCCCATCAAAAAGTGGGTGAATGATATGAACAGACACTTCTCAAAAGAAGACATTTATGCGGCCAACAAACATATGAAGAAAAGCTCATCATCACTGGTCATTAGAGAAATGCAATTCAAAACCACAATGAGATACCATCTCACGCCAGTTAGAATGGCAATCATTAAAAAGTCAGGAAACAACAGGTGCTGGAGAGGATGTGGAGAAATAGGAATGCTTTTACACTGTTGATGGGAGTGTAAATTAGTTCAACCATTGTGGAAGACAGTGTGGCAATTCCCCAAGGATCTAGAACCAGAAATACCATTTGACCCAGCAATCCCGTTGCTGGGTATATACTCAAAGGATTAGAAATAATTCTGCTATAAAGACACATGCACACATATGTTTATTGCAGCACTATTCACAATAGCAAAGACTTGGAACCAACCCAAAGGTCCACCAATGATAGACTGGATAAAGATAATGTGGCACATATACACCATGGAATACTATGCAGCCATAAAAAGGATGAATTCATGTCCTTTGCAGGGACATGGATGAAACTGGAAACCATGATTTTTGGCAAACTAACACAGGAACAGAAAACTGAACAGCACATGTCCTCACTCATAAGTGGGAGTTGAATAATGAGAACACATGGACACAGGAGGGGAACATCACACACCGGGGCCTGTCGTGGGGTGGGGCGCTAGGGGAGGGACAGCATTAGGAGAAATACCTAATGTAGATGATGGGTTGATGGGTGCAACAAACCAAAATGGCATGTGTATACCTATGTAAAAAACCTGCATGTTCTGCACATGTATCCCAGAACTTAAAGTATAATAATAATAAAAAAAGAAGTATCTTTTGAATGAATAAATAAGCTTAATGAAGCTACCCTATACTTATCAAGAGACTGCACCTGGTAACTGGCAGTGTGCTGCCCTCTGGATAAGTGTGGCTGAGCTGCCATGAATGAGGCCTCTTAGACTTGCCTTTTCCCATCTCCCATGCTGTGTCCCACTGACAGTCTTTCTCAGATATTTAATACCTTCAGCCTCATTAAGATTCAGCCTCCCCTTCTAGAATCCATGCTTTGCAAAGCAATGTTGGGCCCCTGTGCTCTAAACCATTATGGATTGACTTAATAGTTCAATTCAGAGGGTAGAATTATTTCTAAGTTCTTAGGGATTCTTCATTGCTGTCTTTTGGACTGCCTAGAGCAACTACCTCATGGTGTGGTTGAGGGTATATTACATGAACTAACATATCATGTCAAATATAGGACTGTTGATCTAGGCGATACAGTGTGGTGGTTAAAAGCCTAGACTTTAGAGCCAGACCTTCTCAATTCACATCTGGGCTTCACAACTTAATAGCTGTGTCACCTTAAGCAAATTGCTTAATCACACTATATTCAGTTTACTTGCTAAAAAATACAAAAATATTACCATTGATGGGGGATTTAATGAGTTAAAGCATGTGTACAAGTAAAAATGGTAAGTAAATGTTACCTACTATTTTTATCATTATTATTAGCCTCAATGACCTCATTGAGCATTTGCTATGTGCCAGACACCAAATGTGTATTATCTCAGTTAATCCTTAAAACAATTACGTGGGCTATTACTGTTATCCCTACCTCATGGATATTCAGGTTCAGAAAGTTTTAGTAATAACTTAAAATGATAGAGATAGTAGGTAGTAGAGCCTGGATTTAAATGCAGGTAGGTCTGAAATATTCCCTCATAGCGATACTTTTCTTAACATAATTTGAAATATCTGCATTCTTATCGACATTTTTTAATATCTCTTAGCCTTTTTACCTATGCCCAAAACCTTAGAACTAACTTTAAGTTCATGTGAGTGTTTAAACATCCATCTGTTGGTTTCATGGTCTATAGTTTCTAAAGACTCTTACAGTTCTTAAATTACACTGTGATCCAGTTCACCCACCTCTCCATTTCCTCTACTAGGATCTTAGCAAAATAAATCAGTCAGTTAAATAATTAAATACCAATTAAAAGCTATAGGATGGCAAATGATGACCAAAACAGACAATTTGCATGCCATGGTGTGGGGACAGTAAGGTTATAGAATCTTTCCTTGAAAGATCACAGTGCAACTATTTCAGTATTCATTTTAAACAGTGAGCTGGAGTTACATGCTCTAACCTAACAGTGATTCTCTACCCAGTGTGGAAGTGTCCTGACACCAATAGTAGCAGAGACTCATCTATTATAAGGTGACTGGTTGACTGAGTGCCCTGTGATTGGCTAATATCCTTCTCATCACAGTGATGGACTTGAAATTTGAACCCTTTTCAGTCACCCCCAGCAGACAAAACAAGGAAAACTGAAAAGCAATCCATTTACAGATGTCAGCACAGCTGCTGTGTTTTTGGATATGATTTGCTGTGCCACATTTGACAGATTATTTTTTATATCTTTGAGATTTATCTTGTTTTCATTGGAATATACTATAAACTGTTCCATTACCTTTAACCAGGTGAATAAATTGTGATATTTGGTAAAATTGTCTTTCATAGCCAAGAGATTCCAGTGTACAGAGAGCTAGCATGACTGTCATTTGGCAGGGCGGTGGCAATTTGTGCATGATACGTATTCGGGAAAAACATTAGCATGTGGCTTATAATAGCATGGGTTTACACGGGGTTCATCTTGATGTTTGAAGGTCATGTTTTTCTCTTCAACAGGTTAATTATGTATGGTTTTGTGAAGGCTATGATACATGCTGGCCAGTTGAAAAATGGAGACTTTCATTTCACTGACTGTTTATTTTTTGGTTCACTGATGTCTGCTACAGATCCAGGTAATTGCTCAAATAATCTATTTTCTTCTTTTAAAATCAAACATTAAAAAAAAAAAAATCAAACATTTAAATTGAATGTCTCTCCCCAAGACCATCACCTGAGTCTACATAATAATTTCTATTCCTCTTCATCTGCAGTTCACATATCTGTTAGTAATCACTAAAGAAAAGGGGAATATTTTAATAGTGCTAAAGAAATTGATTAGAAAGTAATTTCAGTAGTGGGAGAGATCTTTAAAGTCATTATAATTTATTTCTCTAGATAAGCTTGTCCAACCAGCAGCCCATGGGCTGTGTGCAGCCCAGGATGACTTTGCATGCTGGCCAACACAAATTCATAAACTTTCTTAAAATATAATGAGATTTATGCATAGACCTTTTAATTTGCTCATCAGGTATCGTTAGTGTTAGTGTATTTTACGTATGGCCCAAGAAAATAATTCTTCTTCCAATGTGGTGCAGGGAACCCAAAAGATTGGACACCCCTGCTCTAGAACATGTAACCATTTTGAGTTATCATCCTGAATTTTTCTCCAGTCAATATGTCTTCTCTTCTTTTGAGAATGATGTAGTAAATTAAATGATTTAAAGATATATTTTAAAAATGTTTACTATGGTACTTTTCAAGCATATCAAACATAACGAAGAATAGTAAAAAGAATTCGCATATGCCCTTCAGCAATTATCAAACACGAGCAATCATCTTATTTATACCCCCTCCACACGCACTCTCTCACATCATGACTGGATTATGTTAGAGCAAATTCTAGCAATCATATGATTTTCCTTGTAAATGTTTTGAAAAATGAGCATTGCCATTGTAAGACCTAAAAATATTAACAATCATTCTTTAATGATGTCCAAAATCTTTTCATTGTTTTAATATTCCTAATTGTCTTATTGTCATTATTCGTGTGTATAGCAGTTTGTACAAATCAAGATCCAAACAAGGGCAGCATATTGCAATGGATTGATATGATTGTTGATCCTCTTTTTATCTAGAAGTTTCCCTTTTATTTTTATTTTCTTGTCGTTTATTTGTTTTAAAAAAGAGGTAATTTGTCCTGTGGTTGAATTGAATAGAGTTCCTTAAAATATTCCTCAGTGCCCTGTATTTCTTATAAACTGATTAGATTCAGAGGTTTAATCAGATTCAGGTTCAACCTTTTTGGTATGATTACTTTAAAGATGGTTATGTGAGCCTTCTGTTGCATCACCTCAGGAGGCAAATAGTGATTGGTGACTCAGCTGTCAGCCTGATCCATCATATTATTGATTGTTACTCTAGCAGAGACTACCAGAACACAACCTGTGGTTGAACAACATGGTTTTATTACCTGTTGCAATGAAAGTGAATACCATGGGGAATCATGTTACGTCTCAGTGGGTGTTAGAAAGGACTTATTATAGGACCTAGGTTTATGTTTGGTTATTTTAGTGAGGGTTTAAGGCATCAGGGCTTTGGTCTGGATTCGATGCTATCAGGAAGTGGGAATAACTCCAAGACTGGGCATCTTAGTTAAGTCTTACTTAGAAGGAGGAAAGACTCGATCGAGCCTAAAGCTACAATTGGTGAAGAAGCAGTGGTCACTCATAATAGCCAGGATAGGGGGATAGTTTTGTGGTTTGGACAATGTTCATTATTTGTGTTTAGACATAATTACATAGTAGTACTGTTTTTGTCTGGATCCATCATGGACACAGAATAACCTTGCCTGATGTCATTCTGTGAAGTTGTTTTTGTTCAACAGGAGAACACCAAGGCCTAGCTAAGAGTATCAGGCCAGCTCTTGAATGTCAGGCTACTTTTCTCTTTCTTAGGAACATATAAGAATCTTTCTCAGCTGGGAGCGGTGGCTCACACCTATAATCCCAACCCTATGGGAGGCCAAGTTGGGAGGATCACTTGAGCTCAGGAGGTCAAGACCAGCCTGGAAAACTTAGGGAAACCCTGTCTCTCCAAAAAAAAAATTTTTTTTTTTAATTTAAAAATTACCCAAGTGTGATGGTGCACATCAGTAATTCTAGCTATAGCTACTTGGGAGGATGATGTGGGAGGATCACTTCTCAGGCCAGCACGATTGGCACCACATAGTGACTTGTTATAAATGTAAAATCTCAGGCTCAACCACAGACTTAGTGTCAGATGCTAGAATTTAACAGTATCCTCGAGAAATTCATATGCACATTAAAGTTTGCAAAGCTGTACATTTTGGAGTTACCCAATTTTATCCAATGGTTTTAGTACCCACTGATAGTTTTTGCTTAAGCCAGTATTTATTAGGGGTTACAAACTAGTAGTATGCTAATCTAATCCTACCTTTTGCATTTATTAGCTGGTGGTACTCTCCTTAATGAAGTAGTTTTCCAGTTCAATTATTTCAGTACCCAATGGTATAATTTAAACAACAAAAGCAGGGCAAATGATCCATTTTTTTTTCTTTATTTACTAATTTTCAAAAGAATGTGTTGTGTAGCATCCTGCACATGTGACCAATGAGATGAGCTTTTAAAAACATATCACTGTGAGCACATGGATTTTTACATAGATGATATGTTTCAATCTGCTGTTGTCATTATGTTCTTTTTCATGATCAAAAAATTCCATTTTTGACAAGTGGGAGCCTCTTCAAGTTTCTCCTGTATCCTTTTATTATAATCCCAACCGTTTTCGATAGGTTTCTTGCTTTTGAGTAAGACTAGATGTTTCAATCTTATCTTGTATATTTCCTGCACCCTACCTAGGAATTACCTTTCTCTCCAAAAAGCCTTGGCTTTTTCTAAGAGGGAAATTTAGTTAGAGACCATCATCTGGGCACTAAGGGATTGCATTGCTGCTGGATTGGTAATTGTTTTTAGACCTTTTTTTAAAAGGAGAAATTATATCACAAATTCATAATATTTTCAGTTAAAATTTAGTATTATAGGAACTTAACTGCCTTGAATTTTTATTTTCATTCTTATTTTCTTCTGCCTACTCTTTGTCTTCCTACACATTCATATAATTTCTTATTTGCTTAAAACATATGTTCTCAAAAGTATAATATATATACTGTTACTAAAAATATGATAACTAAAAACTGTTTAAGATTTTATTGTGGTTATTTTTAACCTGTGGATGTATCCCACTAGTGAGGTACAGTTAAAAATTATTCCCTTTTTTAAAATCACTTGAAATAACTTCTCTGTGTGGTTAAGCCACAAGTCGATATATAATAATGTTCATTTGTTTTATTTTGTTTTTAATTTTTGTTTTAAAACTAAAAAATCACAGAACGAAATAAGAGAAATCTAACTTCTCTCCCTGTCTCCTTTACCCTAAATTTCCAATGATTTTGGTTGGTTTTTGGCTTACCCTTCTATATTTAAATTTAAGCGAATACACAAACATGCACACATTCCACTATATGCTACTATGCACATGGTTCTTCACTTTTTATTTAATTAACAGTATTTTGGAGATCTCTTCATAACAACATATAAGAATCTTTCTCAGCTGGGAGCAGTGGCCCATGCCTATAATCCCAACCCTGTGGGAGGCCAAGGTCGGAGGATCACTTGAGCCCAGAAGTTCAAGACCAACCTGGACAACATAGAGAAACTCTGTCTCCCCAAAAATAAAAAATAAAAAGATAGCTTGGTATTTTTTTATGGTGCACACCAGTAGTTCCAGCTATAGCTACTTGGGAGGCTGAGGTGGGAGGATAACTTGAGCCCAGAAGATTGAGGCTGCAGTGAACTATGATCATGTCACTGCACTCCAGCCTGAGTTACAGAGCAAGACCATGTCTCAAAATAAATAATAATAATAATCTTTCTAATTATCTTTAGTAGTCGAAGAGTACCCCCATGGTTTATTCAATCAGTCTTCTATTGATGGAAATTTGGGTTCTTTCTTCTGCAATTATGTATGGTGTTGAAATTAATAGCTTTTCACATTTTGACAGTGTTTCTTTGGGAGACATTTCTGGAAGGAGATAATGGTAAATGTATTTGTAATTTTCCTAGATGCCAAACTCCCCTCCATACAATTTGTACCATTTTGCATTCATACCAGCAAGGTATGACAATACCTGTTCTTCACAGTCTTGTCAATACAGTAGACAATCAAAACTTGGGGGATTTATCCATAGGAAAGGTGAGGATTTATATATCCCTATAGCATGACTTAGTACTTCTTTTATTATGAGTAAGATTGTATGTTTGTATTTTTGTATTTTATTATGAGTAAGATTCATATATTTAGGAGATATGAAATTTTTAGAAAAAAAATTCTTATACATATATATTTCTATTATGTATCTATTTTTTTCTATTTATAAGACACCCTTTTCCAGTAGAATCATTAAACTTTTACATTTCAATGTTTAGATGCCCTTAATATGTTAGGAATATTAATCTTTTCTCTGTAACATAAGTTACAAATAGTTTTCCTGGTTTGTCATGTTTTATTTTGCTTATGGTATGAGAGGTTGATTGAAAGAACATGAAATGAAAGTGAGTCTTAGGTTTGGAACCCATGGTGTAGATTGAAGATCAGAGCCCCAGACGGGTATACAGGGATAGATTGCTCTATCCCCAGGGTTAGGAATGGCCTGGTCACTATGGCATTGCTAGAAGATTTCACCCTCACACAGCCCAAGGGAAATGCAGAAGTCCCTTAGCAGCCACTGGAATCGTGGACTCAAGACTATATATTTTCAGCCAATCTAGCTAGGTAAGGTTGTTCTCTTCTGTCATATGTAGATATTCTGCCTTTCAGGGTCAGGCCTCACTTTACATCACCTTTGCACAAATCTTCAAGTTCAGAAGCACTGCAACCAGCATTCCCTGGTCCCAACACTGAAGGCTGAGTTTGTTGCCTTCTACTGAGTGACTCAGCTAGCTCTAAACACAGTTGAGTTATATTCAAGTGCTGCTCTTTCCGTGGCAGGTGATGCCCCTGAAGTTATGTTTAGATAACACAGGAAAACCAATTAAAATGGAAAAAAAATCCAGGC